CACCGAAACTCCAACAACTTGTTTCCTCACTAAGACTAGCTAAGGAAGTTACCGAGCTAAAACAGGACCATAACTTATCTATGCAGCACGCCAGTAGACGTCTCCATCCCACCTACAATAAAGGAGACCGGGTTTGGATTAAAAGTCACAATCTAAGTAACGCAGCCAAAGGATTTTCCTCCAAGTTGGCACCACGTCAAGATGGACCATATCTCATTCTACGTAAACGAGGTCCTGCCAGTTATGAAGTAGCTGAGCTTGGCAAACCTGAAACGCCACTAGGGGTATATCATGCCTCTAGCATTACTCCATTTGTCGGTGACATCGACAACCCTGAACCTGTGAAACCTATCAGAAGGCGAGGTAGACCACGGAAAGTTACAAAACCATTACTCCATGTAACGCCCGACGATTCTCCCTTAGGCACCCGGTTACAAAGAGTTACTGTTTCCTCGTCCAGAAGACTTCGCAACCAGAGGGGGAGAATATAACCGTGCGCCCCTGAAGTATCGGCAACCAGGATTACGTTCATGATTACACCGGTAAGTTCAAGTCCACACTCGCAGATGGCAGCACCCAAAATTCTCTTCTGTTCAACTGACGCATACGTAACCCGAGGAGAGTAGTAAAGGACGAATCTAGCACATTTTGAAGAGGAAGAGGAAGAAGAAGAACAAGAATAAGAAGTTGTAATATTTTATTAATTAATCTTATAATATTTGTGTTGTATATATTTTGTTTAATAAAATAAAAGTTAGTTCTTATAAAATTAATAAAAATTAGTAAAAATTAATAAAAATAAATAAAAAGGAACAAAAATGAATAAAAATGAATGAATATGAATAAAAATGAATAAAAATAAATAAAACTGAATAAAAATCAATAAAAAATAATAAAAATGAATAAAAATAAATAAAATTGAATAAAAATGAATAAAAATGAATAAAAATGAATAAAAATGAATAAAAATGAATAAAAATGAATAAAAATGAATAAAAATGAATAAAAATGAATAAAAATAAAATAAATAAATAAAAATGAATAAAAATGAATAAAAATGAATAAAAATGAATAAAAATGAATAAAAATGAATAAAAATGAATAAAAATTAATAAAAATGAATAAAAATGAATAAAAATGAATAAAAATGAATAAAAATGAATAAAAATGAATAAAAATGAATAAAAATGAATAAAAATGGATAACAATTAATAAAAATGAATAAAAATGAATAAAAATGAATAAAAATGAATAAAAATAATTAAAAATGAGTAAAAATAAATAAAAATGAATAAATATAAAAAAAAATAATAAAAATGAATGAAAATCAATAAAACTAATAAAAATTAATAAAGAAGGAAGTAACGTATTTTTTTATATTATTAACACGACTACATGCGAGCAAAGTCGCGAACAAAGTCGCGGGCAACAGCTAGTTTCATATATAAAATGGTAATTCAAATATCTTTTGTTTTTATTTAATTTTAAATAAGTTATTATTTTTAGAAATTTATCGATGTTAACTAATAACATCGGATTAAAAAACATCGATGTTGAACATCGATAATCTAAACTTAAAAATCGTTTATTTTAAACATCGATACATCGTGCGCATCCCTACCTCTAATCCATATCTGTCTGTGACACATACTTTGATTTTCTTTTACTATACGGAGAATGGTCGCACTGCGCAGCTTGCTGAGTGCCTTTTAAAAGGAGATAGAAAACTCCGCCATTTTGATCTCTTATTACGTGTTGCCTACATCTTGGCGCAATATTTTTAATAGGTGCGTTTTAATCATCCGCTTCTGCTTCGGAATTGTCGGTTTTCTTGTTTTAATCTGACAGGTTAAAACGACGATAGGAGATTTTCATCTTCACCCCTCACAGCAACATCTGGAGTTCCACAGAGCTCCAATCTGAGGCCACTATTATTTAGTATATTTATAAATGACTTGGCAATAAATTTAACCTGCTGTTCGCTGCTGACTTAAAAATATTTACCTCAATTTCATCAATTCAAGACTGTTACTTTTTACAGACCCAACTTGGGAATCGTTGAAAATTGGTGTAATGAAAACAAGCTGATTATGAATGTGTCTAAATGTAAAGTATGTTCCTATACTAGAAGTATTAACAAGGTGGAGTTTGATAATTTATTTAACAGCTTACCTTTATCGGACTTGTGCACAAATTGAAGATTAAGGTATAATATTATTCAACCAAAAAGTTACTTTTTCGGATTATATTGAAAATACCGTTGCTTCTGCGTTGAAAAGCTTAGGGTTCTTAATTCGTAATACTCGTTCTTTTACAAACTCTTAAGCTTGAAGATACTTTACTTTTCTTTAGTTCGTTCCAGGCTAGAATATGCATCTCTTATCTGGAACCTTATTTACAATATTCATAAAAGATCATTGGAAAATGTTCAGCGGCGATCTCTCAAGTACCTACCTTTCTTTTAAAATAGATGAGCTGTATCCCATTCGAGGTATTGAAGAATCTCTGCTTCTTTCGAAAATAGAAGGGTAGTTTCCAGTGTTACTATTTTTTATAAAATATTACATAACACTATTGATGTACTATTTTTGATAAATTAAATAAATTTTAATGTTCCCTAACAGCCATTAGATATCATAAAACATTTTATACAGCAAGTATTTGAACGAACTTGGGAAGAAATTCACCTATAACGCTAATGTGCTCAAATTTTAATTAATTTTGTTCTGATTGGGTTATTTATTTCGACCATTAGTTGTACTAATTTGTAGCTAATGTATTTATCTTTCTTTTCTTTTTTTTGCTGTTGCTAAAATTATTTTCTGTCGAAATATTATGTTTAACATTTATTTCATGTATTTTGTTCTGTAAATGGATTAATTTGTTGGGCAATAAAATTATTTTTATTTTATTAAGCAAAAAAATGTTTATTTTGATGCACCTACCACCTTTAAAAGTTTGTCAGTATATTAACGAGAAATCCTATATAATTCCCAAAGAAAAATATTTTTTGAATAAATTCCGAATTATTTTTATTGATATTTGTTATTTTTTAGGTTCAATGACTCGAAACATGATGATCAGCTACACCAAGAATATCCTTGATACTTAAAAAAAATGGTACAAGATTAAGCAGATTTGATGCTATGTCACATTGTGGTGCGAAGACGTGGCTTGTATAAATTTGGGGTATCAGTTGATAGAAAACAGTACACAAAAATAAATTTAAATCTGCAGATGCATCAGAAATAGCCATATTCCATACCACAATACGTAATGTATGAACTCGATGAGATTTCATCGCCTAAGTATCATTCCTCTGTAATGTTTTGTATCATTAGGAACACCAACATTGTAAATAATTATGACCAGGGTTTTCTAACCTTTTCCCTAGGTCAGAGAGAATAAATGAAAACTAAATAATGTATAGTAATAAAGATTGAAAATATATATACTTTTAAGAGTTTTATTATGTCAGATATAGTTTTTATACCAAAAATGAAAATAAACTGAAATTATACATTAAAAATACATTCATAAATATAACACTCATCGACTCTCTCCTGGCTAAAATATTACTTATCTATCTATTCGGCTCTGTTCCGTCTATTTTTTGCCTTTAGCCTCCTTCTGACACTTTCATTCGTTCTTGTTCAGTGTAGTATGCATAGTTTTCAGAATATCAAGTGTTATACCTATCTGATGCTTGGTCCTGCAAAGTTCATCTTCAGTACACCTGCTTATTGACATCTATCTCGATGTCAAGTTTGATTGAACGCCCGTTTCTTGCCTATTACTCTTATACTTAACCAGACCTAGCTTAGACTCGAACGCATATGTCTAATTCGGCCAAAACACAGCCTTGGTACACAAATATCTATTTTACCGCTGGTTTCATTACAAAAACTGAAGTAAAGGGTAAAATTATCTCTTGTCCAGTACACTCGTATACACTTGAGTATTAGAGGGTGAGATTACAGAACGTCTGCAACTTTGCAGATCTGCAAATATGGCGGTAACTTTGCAGATCTGCAAATATGGCGGTAACTTTGCAGATCTGCAAATATGGCGGACATACATATGCATGTATCAAGTTTTCCAAAAAAGATCTGCAAATTCGCAATATATATTGTGGTTTATTACCCCCAACAACATTAAACCCAAATCCATAACTATGTTTAAAAACTCGATAATCTGACACCATGAACTGTATTCAATCAAAAGAAACAGAAGACTTCATGGTTGTAGGATGTTGTAACCTTCTTAAGGGTGGATTTGGATTTAGTGTTGTTAGGGGTAATAAATATTCCTTTGGATACTTGCATCTGTAAGTCCGCCATATTTGCAGATCTGCAAAGTTGCCGCCATATTTGCAGATCTGATGCAAAGTTGCAGACGTTCTGTAATCTCACCCTAAGCCTATATTATTTTTGATTGAAGACGTATACATTTAAAAATGTCGTTTACTTAAAAATAAACATTTAATTTTGATATTTTATTTGACCCAATCAAAACATTAAATTATTATTTTCTATTTATATATGGCTTATACCGGACCTGTATGTACTCTAGTAGCCATGGAGTAGCGCTGACAGTGTTGCCGTCAGTTTTCGCCACATATTCATTAGTGACATACGTTTTATAAATTCATCGTGTTACATATTTGGTGACATAAAGAGATAGAAATTTAAAATGACGTCTTGTACTACTTCGAATGAAAAAAATCGATAATACAATTTTCTAACCTAAAAAAAATCGTGATTATATGTCAAACGAAATTGAACTTGCCCTTTTAAGGACTTTTTTTAGAAACTCGTTAAAAATACTTTTTATTTTTTTTATAATACATATTTCTATTAAAATAATACAAAGATATTCATACATATGCAGTTTTTCTGCAAAATAAAAGTGTACGGTATTGAGGAGGCCATGTAAGGTAATTTGAATTGCGCGGTACGGTAAACGGAATTTAAAAAGTTGGCAACCCTGACACAACCAGTTAAATAATTTATGACACTAACATAACCAAAACATATTGTTATTTTTTAATTATGTTTAATAAAACTCTTACGACATTAAAGATACTTAAAAGTGCCTGTAAGTTTTCACAAAATGTAGCTAAACCGCTCAGGAGTAAAAAACCCAAGTCTTCTACTACTTCGGTATGTACTATTTACAGGGTATTCCAATTGTCCTGACTTGAATGTTCTGAAAACGAATTATATTATTTTTACAAATACGAAGAACCTCGCCAAAAATAGACACATTGGAATGCCCTGTCAAGAGATTTTCTTATTATTAATTCAGGTTCAAAACTTTGTAGACTTCAAGCATCTGAGAGTCGTTGGAGGTAAAGGAGGTGATGGTTGTATTTCATTTTTATCACTGTGGGCTAATGAATTTGCCGGCCCAGATGGAGGGGACGGAGGAAATGGTGGTCACGTTATTTTCGAAGCGACTGAAAATGTTAAAGACTTAAACAATGTACCAAGTGTAGTCAGAGCTCAAAACGGTGAATTTGGTGCTAATACTGACTGTCATGGCAAGAATGCTAGCCATTGTATGATAAAAGTACCTGTCGGAACTGTTATTAAAGATTCTACAGGGAAAGTCGTAGGTGATTTATCTGAAAAAGGATTGATGTTCGTGGCTGCAAGAGGAGGTTCTGGTGGTAAAGGAAATAGATTTTTTGCTTCTGATACTCAACAATCACCACAAATTTGTGAATATGGGGCGCAAGGTGAAGATTTGGAGTATACAGTCGAAATTAAGAGTATGGCTCATGTTGGATTGGTAAGAATACTTTACTTGCTTCTATAAGTTGTACATATGTGATTTTTGCAGATTGGTTTTCCCAATGCTGGAAAAAGCACTCTTTTAAGAGCAATTTCTAGAGCTAGGCCGAAAGTAGCTCCTTATCCCTTTACAACATTGAAGCCACATGTAGGAATGATACAATATGACGACTATGAACAAATAGCAGGTAACAAGCTGCTTTTTTAAAGCATTCATTCATTTGATGGAATTTCCTAGAATTTATAAGAAATTTAAATACATTTCTTATTTTTAGTTGCAGATCTTCCTGGTCTAATACCAGATTCGCACAAAAATAAAGGTCTAGGTATTCAATTCCTGAAACACGCTGAAAGATGTATGGTCTTGTTATACATAATCGACATGTCCCAAGCAGAACCCTGGATTAATCTGGCAACACTGCAAAATGAACTTTTGCAATTCAATGACGATCTGAATCAAAGGCCCCAAATTGTAGTTGCCAACAAAATAGACTTACCAGAGGCAGAAGAAAATTTGAAAGTTTTTAAAAAGAATGTTAGTTTACCTGTGATATCAATTAGTGCTAAATTAGGTACCAATATAGAAGAACTATTGAAAGAAATTAAGATAATATATGATAAGAAATCGAAAGAAAAATAGTACATTATGAATTTATTGATAGTTTTTAAATAAACTGAAAAATTTAAGTTTTTATTATTACAATAGTTCCAATGTGTTTGACTGTTAAAAGTACCCTAATCAAATCACCTAACTTTTTGACAGTTAAAATGATTGAAGATTTGCAAACACTAAATTAATATAGATAGGATCCTGTAGATAATCTTCAAATCAATGATCAACAGTTTTAAAACACAAATTTTCCGTGATTTACAATAAAAACAATCAGACACACGAAAAATGTTAACAAACTATGTTTTTCATATGGATGGACTTTTAGAGAACACTTTATTTTTCATAAAAATGTTTGCTCATTTCGAAAAATAATTGTAATTCAAACAGAAGTAGAATATGTCTTTGTTTTAGTGACGACTTATTTACATTTTCAACTTAAAACCCTTAACTGGTCCGGCACTCTGCCAGTAACGTAACTCGTCCGACGTGGTCTGTGAGACTACTTTTTTCGCAGGGCAAAAAATATAAATCAGACAAAATAATAGTATATTATTAAACGAGCACTTTATGGTAGCCATTATTCACGCAGAGTGACGTTCGCGTCCTGAGCCGCAAGTGAGTGAATAATGGCCATAAATTGCGAGTCTAATAGTATACTTTGCCCACGACCATTATGGTTTCTTTATTAAATAAAAAGTGTAGAATGGAAAGTTTTTATTAAACATAGGTAACTAACTGTTGTTTTTTCGACTTTTCAATTTTTCGGATTTCTGATTTTTCAATTTTTCGATCTAGAAAATATCGTTATGAAAAGTATCGCCCATCTTTAATTATCTACCGGAATGTGCCAGAATTACAAAAGCGTGAATTATAATAATTCACTCTAGTGATATATGGGTATCATATACTTTTAGTTAGGAGGTAGAAAATTGATTTATTATTAAGTGGTCGTGGACAAAATGTTTTATTTAACATAAATGTTAAAAACATTACTTAATACTAATATGTAAAAAAAACGTATTTATAACTAAATAATAAAAAAAAATACACCCAACACTAAAACCCGCACAGAAATTTTGAAAAAGTACATATTTTTAAAGAAAAAAAAAAAAGAATTCTTTCATATTGCAATATTAAATTGTCAAAGTGTTAGGTAAACAAAAACTTACATAAAATACAAATCTAAAAAACAGTTGATTTCTAGCATGAGCCAAAGTTCAGTATTTTTAAATGCAACTCTTACATAATGGTTTTGTACACTGTAGACAAACGGACTTCTTGCACCGCAGACACAGGTATTTGGTCATTCTACGCTTTTTACTAGGACAAGCGATCAGCCCCAATGCACCCGTTTTGATGGTCCGGCCATATTAAAATCAGCGACAGGCAAATAAGTAGCACTAACGGTCTGGCGTCGTCTGAGAGACTACGATTGAACTAATTTCTGCTACAGCTTTTAGGAAACTGACGCCAGCCTGGCTACCTGTCGAGCTCCAATAGGGATAGGATTAGATGTAAGGTCCTGCCTGTGTGCGGTCCCAATAACCAATAAGAAAGAATTGTTTATATGGCGTAGTATGTCGGACGACGTCGGACCAGTTAAGGGTTAAGTTTGGATTATTATTAATTTTGAAACATGCAAAAACTTTTATAAAGATTAAGATTTTTTGAAAATGTGAATATCAAAAAGTTATTGCTTCTCTTTTTCAGTCCATCGGGGGACTTCCTGTATATATATTGATGTTGTTTGCCAATCGTCGGACATATTGATTTTTTTTTATAGGACGTTAGATTTCCTAATTTCTAATATTGGAGATAGTTTAAATGTATGAAATTAATCGTTTTATTTTAAGGTAAAATACAACTATATTATTTAGGATAAAAAAAGTAACAAATTTGGTGTTATAAAATTTATTCACACAACCTTTTAGACAAGAATATACAGAATATTGTGCTTGCAATAAAGAATATATAAATGTATACAGTAACTATCCAGGACGGAACATTTATGCTGGTCTCACAGTTTTTGCGGCAAATATCTCTAAAAAAAATACTTTATACAGCAATTTTTTTTGATTATACATCACATATACAACTGAAATTTTTCTTTTGCTTATAAATTTATACAAATTCATCTTCGATTTATTTGTCTGGTAATGTTACATAAGGCAACATTTTTGAGATTTCCTGTTTAAATAGTTTATGACACAGGACAAAAATACGTTTTTGTATAGCATTATAATGCAAAAAGAACATATCAAAAGGTAACCCTGAACTGCATAACTTTACACTTCATAAATATTTAGACCAAAATAAAATGCATTATCCGTTATTTTGACCTATTTTTGAATTCATTATTATTAGGCAACTTTCGCTTCTTTTTATCACAGAAATGTGTAATCAATTAAAAAGATTCTTCTCATAAATAAAAACCATTCCATTCAAAAAACGAACACTTAACAAATTGGAAGGCCACTTTTAAAACAAAAAATAATAGTAATAATATTTACATTCAAGTGGCAGAAAATCGGCGAAATAAAGTTTTTTTTTTAATAAAATTGAAATTGCTTAACAACAAATTGCGTTTTCACAGTATTTTATCTGCAATGACGACATTAAATACCTGTCAAACTGCACTTTCTGACGTTGCAAATAGATAACTTCTATACAAGGACAATGCAGCTAACCTAATTCACCCCCTTTAGTGAATTTTAACCCCATAAACCGACTGAGCTTGTGAGGGGAAGTGGTTATTTGCCGTGGCGCTCCAGGGCGACTTACAGATGATTGGTGATGCCATTTAACTTAGAGGTGAGAAAATCGACACTAATGACATAATAAATCGTGTCACAAAGAGCACTAGGTGATAGGGCTATTATTTCTTATGCATTTTACACACCATGTTGTTCCCGTAATGTAAATAACACTTTTTGCATGGCTATATTACAAAAATACACTCGTAGTGTAGTTCAGATAACACAAAGTAATCATTTCGTAGTAGTAATTATCTATTTTAATAAAATCATGTGTGCCATGAAATGCCAAGCATTAAATAATTATTATTAAAATAGTTTATAAAAACTACTTACAGAAAGTATGGTATTCAACTTGCAAGGGGTGCTCATTTCATATTCGTAGGAAATTAATACCATTCCTAGCTCGTTAAACAAGATTATTTTAAATTCAAAGATTGAAAAAATTATAAATATCAGCTGTCAATAATGTTGATGAGCAGAACATGGGCATAACCATAGAAGGGGGCAATGTAACTAGTATCGTATGGTAGGAACTTATACTTGTAGCAGCAGCATTTTGTAATGACACAAATAGAAACAAATTGAATGTTTAGTGGAACAAAAATACCGACAAATAAAATTCATATAAAACGCAATGCTACCGCTATATTTTGACATTGCTTTGTCCTTGTATATAAGTATTCTCTTTGCTTAATCTAAAGGAAAGGTCGGATAGTTCAAACTCTTTTCGCTGTGGATAGACGGAGAGTCAAAACAGTCTATCGAACTATATTCGAATGCACCTAATAATTTCTTATACAATATATTTCGTTTTAGAGTCTAAATGTATCATAAAATAATCTTAACAACACATTTAATAGAAATGGTTTGATCAAAAACTAAATATTAATACGAGCGACTTGTTTCATTCGAGCTGTCAACTTATTTATGGGTTACTGTCATTTGACATTTGCCAGAATCGCGCAACGACCAATATTTTAAATCATTTGAATTTAAACTTAAAACTGGTTTCTTTTCTTCTACATAAATTATATAACACTATTTAACTTTCTGCCACACGAAAAAAGAAATCGTTCTCGCCCATTTTTTAAGCGTACTTTAAATAATTAATCTTTCTTAATGAATAATCTACACTAAAAAAAAATATATGAAGGGGTTCGTACAGCAGTTATTCTCCCTACTTTCGTATATAACTAATGTTTATTCTAAAAGGAACAGAAAGCTAATCAGCCATTTTAAAATAAAGAACGAAATGCTGGAATAAAAATAATTATTTTTGTACCGCTGGCGCAAAATAGCATTTTTATTCCCACCGCCTACTATTCGATAATACATCCAAGTTGTACGTAATATTTTTTTCATTTATTTATCCTAAACATTCGATTCCTTTTAGAATAACGATGTCCATTTATAATCCAGTCATTTACGATTTAAAAAGGCAATCACGAATAATTGTTGATACGAATCCGTTCTCTATATATATATCATCATAATTATAATAGACGAAAGCATTTTTTGGCATAACTTTGACGGACACTCCATCCGATCCATAAATAAATATACCATAACAAAAAATAATAAATTACGTAGAAATAAAGCTAAAAAAAAAAATAATAAAATCCATAAGATGTGTCGTTATGTTTTTTTTTGTTCTTTTGCTGCGTCTGTCTGTCTACATTATTATTATTATTAGAGAGGTGAATAGAGAGATAGAATATGATTTATTATATTATGCATCTACTAGATTAAATGAGCTAAGACTTGGGGGGTAATTCTTAGGGGGCACACTGGCAATTAGAGGTCTGTTTAGAGTCTTCGACGGACGCAAAAGTCTCATAAGAATGGATTATTCGAGTTCATTGCAGTCGGTCCGCCCACCTGTAACCAAAAAAATATTTTCAATATTAAATTGTTAAAAGATAAATACTGTTTTTAAGTAATAAATGCATTAGAAAAATTATGGAAAACGCAAATATTTTTTAGAACCAAAATTGACAAATATATTTATTCGAATTTTTGAGTCATATTTTCTTTAATATCACATTTCTTTAAGCCAAATTTGCATTTTCTTCCATTTTTCCTACCAATTTTTCAGAGCCCAACCAAATTTGCCATTTGTGATATTTAATAGAAAAAAATGCATTAAAACTGTTTCAAAGGGGAATCTTTGCACAAATTTAGGTGCGGAAAATATATTTCAAATGAAGGCTGTTTTAAAATCTATTTTAATCTCCAAAAACGAAACTATGCATAAAAATGTTTCCGGACACATTTCAGTGCAAGACGAATTTAATTTAAAAAATCTGTCATAAAAATTTTTCAAACAGAAGACCATTGATGGAGACATTTGAGTGCAGGACAATTAACATGACAATGTGTCTTTTAATCAAAGGTAATAACGCGAGTTCTCCAAATTTTATCGATAAAATTTTTAGTTTCCACGAAAACGATTTTATTTGGAAAACTACGAAAAAATACCGATTGATAAAATTACGAGTCCGCCGGACGAGTGATTTTATCTTAAATCGGTTTGAGTGGTTTTGCGTTTTTACGTTACTGGCAGAGTGCCGGACCAGTTAAGGGTTTTAAGTTGAAAATGTAAATAAGTCGTCACTAAAACAAAGACATATTCTACTTCTGTTTGAATTACAATTATTTTTCGAAATGAGCAAACATTTTTATGAAAAATAAAGTGTTCTCTAAAAGTCCATCCACATGAAAAACATAGTTTGTTAACATTTTTCGTGTGTCTGATTGTTTTTATTGTAAATCACGGAAAATTTGTTGCGCTAGTTCAGTGATGATGTAATAATGGTTCCAATGACAATTAAAGTGACAGTAGATTTTTTGAGTGCGTTTTGTTCATTTTGTTTACCTAAATTATAGGGACCGTGCGTGAAATATAGAGGCAGCACTACTGCCGAAGTTAGCCCTCTCTAGTGTTTAATTTTGGAATTAAATGGGGTAAACATTGCAAGTAAATAATAAAGAATATTTTTTAAAATATTAAATATAGATACCGGCCCGTACCAAACAATCGGGTACATGGTCAAAATGATATAAAATGTAAAACATTATTAAAATCTGGACATGTATATACATTTTAAGCAAAAAGATTTATATGGCTAATTGACAATAAATTGTAAAGTTGTACCTTAAACAAGTGTATCCAATGTCAAAATATCGGTATTTAGTAACACTGAATTTAAAAGTATTACAATAACATTTAAAAAATGTAAATTAATAAAAAAGATTGGGAATAATAATAATTCTTTTTAGATTTATGTTAGTCGAAATGTCATTCATCCACTGACGTTTATGAAACGCCCAATGATATACATATTATAGATTGCTCACCCATCTATAAAAAAATTACGAAAAGCGGGTTGCAATGTGCCTTTCCTAGTGCTCACTAAAATAGATCCGTTCTAGCCCAAATGTGTTTTAATATAAAATTTCAGTATTTTAATCTTTAGAAAAAGAAAATAATTAAAGTTTTACTTCAAGACACGTTATTATGTATTTGGAAAGTTGAGTTTCCATGTAGTTAAATAATATTAAGAGATCTAAACAATTTTTAAAACAGATGGATATAAATAATTTTAGACTACTCTCATTTCAGAAATTGCACTACATAAAATACATAATTGCAATATGTAATACAATTTTGAAAAGGAAATGTAAACAACTTTGATATGAGTTATAAACAACTTTGGTGAGAGTTGTAATTGGACACATTATTCTGAATAATGTTTAATGGTAATGTCACTAAAAAAATTTACAAAAATCACTGGATTTTTAATATTTTAAAGTTTGTTGCAGTCTCTTTTGATAGTACTTGTAATGTACGTATTATTTATGATTTGTTTATTTTAGTAATAAATGAGAAATAGTTAATAAATTGTTAAGAGGGCTATGATATTTTTGTCAAATTGGACATACTTATTTCATAGTAACATTCTACGTTAGTTTTAATCAACAGAATAAACCATTAATTATCTGTAAAATTATATTTATATAAAATGTTCATTTAAATATGTAAAAATCTTAATGACATTAAAACACTAAAGACTCTAATTTCTAAACCGGTTCTGTAAATGCTCAAGTGCTCAAAATTGATACAAAGCTAGATAAAAAAACACTTTGCCCAGTGAAATACGCTTTCCGTCATCTGATTTACATATGGATAAGCAATCTATGTAATGTAATTATGTATATCATTGGGCGTGAGACAAAATTCTGCTCTGTGAAAATTTATAAAATTTCTTTACTATTGAATGAAATCCAGGTTTCCAAAGTAATGTGTTCGTACATTCACGGATGCAACAAGTTTTTTCGATAATGATATTACGAAAATAATTCGACTTTATTTAATTAATAATTATTAAACAATAAATGCCATATAAAATATTAATAAATACCCCCCATAAAGTTCAAATTTTTTTCACCAGTTAGCGTTAAAGTCTTGACGCACGGTCCCTATATCGTTTTTTTCACTTTTATAAATATATTCCTAAAGTAAGTAGATAGTATGTATCAATATACAATCGATTAGTTACCAATTACATACCTTTAAACTATTTTTTATGACATGTAAACAATATTTTGAAATAAAATAAAAACAGTAAAAACGTATATGTCAAATTTATTGATGTTTTTGTTAAAAGTTTGGTTAGAATTAAATGTCAGTGGAGCCAAAATGACATCACATTGTACTGCATAATAATTAACTGATCGTTGACTGACATACTGGATTGAGGTTATGATTTTTACTCTTAGGGACAGAGCGCGTTCGAGATGTTACCATATTCGCTCTCTGACTTGACAGGACTCTGCTCATGCCCTGCCCAATCCATAGGGCGTCATCTCGAACTTGCCCACAGAACTGAAATTAGGAGAATGGATTTGGTGTCAATTCTTGCTCAAAATTTACGTTCCGTTAAGGAGATTCAAAATTGATGTTTGAGTTTGCGCAGTGAGTACCTGTCAGACATGTCAAATTGTCATTTGTGAAAGTGATTTGAAAATAAATGTTAATTTCAATCATTTAAAAACAATTTTTAAGACGATTAACCGCGTATTGTACAACCCGCCGTTATTATTTTTTTTTTTTAATATTTGTTTTATATCTTTTTTTCAAATTATGACCTTGTTTGGCACCTACTGCGCAAACTCAAAAAACCTCAATTTTATTCCCCGTGTAGGAACGTTATTGTAAACTGTCAAATCCATTATCCTAATTTCAGTTCTGTGAAAATTGATTGACATTTGCCAAATTTTAAAATTGTTTAGGTATTCAAAAAATGATGTTCAATGGGTAAAAATTGAGTGTTGATGTGGGTTAGTTTTATGTGTGTTATAAATGATTTATAATAATAATAATACGTCTTTATTAAAATTTTTGAAAATTACAATTTAAGGGCGAGATTTAGCTTATTACTAACAGACAAAAACAGGTCAGTTTACTCATAAATATTACCGATTTTAATTTTGCAATTTTGTACAATAATTTTAAAATTTAGGTACGTATTAACATAGATTTGAGATACATTTTACTTTAATAAAAGTTTAAAAGGTAAACATAGTTTTATCAAAAAACAAAACGAAGAAACGGTTTAATCAGGAGTGAGTTTAGAAACCTCGCCCGGCACGTCTGACCACATACATTAGAATAGGGACCAGACTCGCCGTACGAGGTTTCTAAAGGCACTCCAGCAAAAAATCAAAGAAAAACAATATCTAAAACTATTCAACACTGCGGGAGAGGGATAAAATGATGACGAGAAGATCTGGTTTTGTTAACAGTAAAAAAATACAATCCATTACTGTACAAATTAAAATAAACCATATGAAGGGTACAGGCAAAGAAGGCGATATGTCATTTTTTTTCGAAATTGAGTTAATCAAGCCATTTATGAAATAAACCTGTGAACTTTTCCCCTAGAAACTGTCATGGCTAAAAAAGCAATTAGTCAACATATATCACACGTTTTATTTTTGCCTTATGGGCTAAAAATGCGATATGTCAGCGCGGAATCACGTAAAAAGGTGTTAAGTCGTTAGTCAAACAGGACAGACATCACATAAGAACCTTTGAATTTTAGTACTGTAGACTCATGGCATTTTATTATATTACTTTTTTTTTTATAAATATCTCATGATAAAACACCTTCTTTCCCAGTTTGAATGTGACTTTTGTGAAGAATTGCTTTTTTTATACTAAAAAAATTAACTGAGTGGTATTTGTAAAAATTTATTCTATTTTTGACATATCGCCTTCTTTGCCTGTACCCTTCATATATCAAAACAAAATAATTAAGATGATCACTAGGAATTTACCTTAAACGGATTAGGTGTCCATCCGTTTGTGCCGTTGACAGCCAACGGTATGCCGTTCGTGGGAAATGCTATTGGCTGGAAGTTGTTCGTGTAACCGTTTGATTTGACGGTATCTCTAAACGGATTGGCGAACGGTTGCTGCTGCTGTTGTTGTACGGATTGCATACCGTTAGTAGCAGCGACGTTGGACCAATTAACAGCACCCCCGTTCATGTTGAAAGGATTTGATACTGCTTCGGGAATGTTGGGGTCTTGATTTGAAGGGAATGCGGTCATGAACTGACCTGAAAAGAAAATCGATTCTATAGACATCGAAAAAACTGCCATAAATAGACACAGGAGCAACAACACCTCTGTATGGACATTACTATAGATCTTACCTTGACTAGGAGACCCAAAAATGGAACTATGCGACGAGGGTGAACTGTACACGGATCCGGTAGGCGTCGGCGAACTATATAACGATCCATTTGAACTACTGCTGTTCGCCGAAGACGTCCAATCGACACTGCCGTTTTTTTGTGTTTTGAACTCGTTATCCAGATCTTTTAAAGCTGCGTACCTATCTTCGACGGGCGCTGCGGTGCCGTTTAAAGTGGGCGTGCCGTTTGTACTGTTTAAGGAACCGTTTAGGTTAGCGGAGGTGTTCGATTTGTTCCAACCGTTGTTGTTGAATGTTGCTGGGATCGGTAGACCTGGAATGAAAACGTTTCTTTATTATAAAGCAACCAATAATCAAAAATGCAGTCTTAAGGTGCATAAGAATGGAAAAAAGTACCAGCTCCAGTTAAGAATCATTATGATAATATGTATGGTTTGTTGCCGCATGGTATCATATAAGGCACTCGAGAAATGTTTTGACACTTAAAATGGTTGCTTGATGAAGATGAAACACAAACCCCAATTTTACATTAAATTTATCAGTGTTTAATTTTGTTTTTGAGGAATATGAGTTAATTTAGAAAATAGCGACTTTCATTGTAGTTGGAACAGAAAATAAAAAGAGTGTCTCTATCAGATCTGCTACCACAATTTACAACTATGCATATTATTAGCATGTATTTTCTTTCTATTACACACTTCTTACTTCTAGTACTATAATTAAAAAAAATTAATTTTCAAACTCTAGTTTTTACGTGACACTAAGAATAAAACTATTAATAATACACTACACCGTGTTTTTGTTCAATATTCACCCTCAAAGCACACAGTTACCATTATTTAAACTAATGTTTAAAAACAAATTAAACAGATTAGTAAACAAACGTTGGAGCGTCAAAAGTTCAACAAGCAACCATTTTTAACAGGACGTTGGAATATCTAATAGGATGTAAAACAACCAGTTGTAGCAATGCGCATGTAACATGTTATGAGTTGCGAAAAGAAAACATAAAATAAACCATTTTGGTTTTAAAATAAATAATACACATTATTGTTGAAAGTTTATGTCAAAGATGGGCAGGTTGTTTTATAAAAATAGAATTTGGTTAAAATTACAACCAAGTAATAATGTTGTTTTGGTCCTTGTTTTCCATTCTAAATCATCACAAAACAATTAAAACACAATACACGACAAACTAATTTTAATAAGCCATATAAACACACTAGAAGTCGTTGAAAATAATAAATAATTAATATTATGTTCTATTTGTCAATAAAATGATGCATATGCAATACAAAAAAAGTAGTAATATTGGTTGCCTAGATGTCAGTAATGTTTTACCAAAACAATTTTATAAATAATCTAGTCAAAATAGAAAAAATATATTGTATGTAACACGTTACGAAATGCCGTTTTATACAACTCGTTCATGTTGCGGGACCTCGCTCTGCTCGTCCAGCAAATATTTACTCGTTACATAAAATAAGGCATTTCGTAGCTGGTTTCATAAATAGATATTACCAAGATAAAATACATTATTATGACGTTGTATTTTTGTGTGTCAATTCTTTCATAAGTCAATGTGCCACCCCAACATTTCATTTGTTTTCATTGTCTTTAATAAATTAAATACAGGTGCTATGGAGAAAACACTCTTTATTCAGTATTTAATATAATAATACGGAATTGCTATAACCGGTTATTTAGATTCATGTTACATAGACTATCAACCATATTCACAAAGCATTTTTAAATAGTTACATGCAAATCCTTATAGATAGAAAGGTTAATTTAGAGAAAAAGCAGAATTGTACGATGGCATGGTTTTTCAATTACATTTTGAATCGGTACTTTGATTAGTAATTTTCAAATAAATGAGACTACGTTTCATCAAATATCAAATAATTTTTCGTACAAAAATTTAAGAAATCGATAGAAAAACATTTAAAGAATGTCAGTATACCAAGATTAAAATAATTAAATACCAGGTTGTGATTCGCTCAACTCTATTGGATACTCTTTATAATGACGTGTCTATCTTTAAGGTTTTACATGTAGATACATTTAAAGATACTTTGTGAATTAGGTTATATACAGGGTGTACCAATAAAAACTCCCAGTCCGGATATTTTGGTAAGTAATAAAGATATTTTAATTCTGTAAAAGCCAGATCATAGAGAGCTAAGAGAGCTTCAGTTTTAGATATAAATTAATTTTAAATATGTCAATATGTAGATGGCGCTGCGCTCAATATTTGTTTTTCGATGGGAGGATTTTTCTTACATAGCGCATCTGGTAAAATAAGCAGATTTTGTTCTATAAATTAATTCGATAAATCTAGTCATTTTGGATATACAGAGTGGGTAACTCAAAATAGTTTCATCCTGTTTTTCGGCATTAATCATTGGATTTTTAGAAAATGCTAAAATAGGTCGATTTGTATTCCAAATTAAACACATTTTTACAATACAGGCATCTGTCATGTGTCAACGCCCTCCCTTCCACTTCTCCAACCCCTTAATTTTAAATAAGGAATGTACCATGTACGGCATATCATTGAAAAGGTAATTTTACGGGGAAGTCAGAAATATGACTTTATTTCGACACTTTTAATTTTAGCGCCCTCTATCGGGATAAAAAATCTGTAACGTATTATAAAGCGTGACACTTCATTTGAAAGCTAATTTAATTACAAATTCAATTCACCACATAACATTAATATAAATATTTCCATATTGCACTTGCAACAAAATAAAGTTAGTAATAATGTTTAAAATAATGCATGACTAATTTTCAAACTATTGCAAGTACAATATGGAGGATATTTATATTAATGTTATGTGGTGCATTGAATTAGTAATTAAATTTGCTTTCAAATAAGGTGTCACACTTTATAATACGTACAGTTTTTTTTTTATCCTGATAAAGGGCGGTACAATAAAAGCTATCACAATGAACAGTCATATTTCTAAATTTCCTATAAAATTACCTTTTTAATGATGTACTACACATTGTAGAGTCACACACTCTATAATACGTAGTAGTTTTTTATCCCGCTAGAGGGCGATAAAATTTAAGTAATGCAATGTACAGAAATATTTCTGAATGCCCCAGTAAATTACCTTTTTTATGATGTGCCATACATGGTACATTACCTATTTAAAATTAATTTGTTGGAGAAGTGCAAGGGAGGGGGTTGACACATGTTTGTATTGTAAAAATGTTTTTAATTTGGAATAAAAATCGACCTGTTTTAGCATTTTCTTAAAATCTCCAATTATTAATGCTGAAAAACAGGATGGGACTGTTTTGAATGGCCCACTCTGTATATCAAAAATGGCTAGATTTATCGAATTAGTTCATAGAACAAAATCTGCTTAAAAATGCATTTTTTATAAGATGCGCTACACAAGAAATATCCTCCCATGGAAAAAAATTATTAAGCGCAGCGCCATCTATATATTGACCTATTTAAAATCAGTTTATATCTAAAACTGAAGCTGTCTTAGTGCTCTGTGAACTGGCTTTTACAGAATTAAAATATCTCTATTACTTACCAAAATATCCAGCCTGGGAGTTTTTATTGGTACACCCTGTATATCCAGTATTTATTACTGATCAATGTAATGATGACTAACTATTTTGTATATAAAAGTGATGTGAATAAAATATTCTGGCGCTATAATTACAGCTAGAATTAAAACGATCCAAGCAAAATGTCTATACTATAGCTACAAACTCAAATATACAAATCTGCTGCACTCAAAGTGAATAGAATTATGAAGCTGTTGTGATGCCGTGTCGTCAAACTAAAAAAAAAAAGAAGAAAAAGCAAGTTCACGTCAACAAACGTGCGACTTACTCCATCGGTTGATGTTGCACTTTGGAAATATTGGAATTTGATTTACAACAGGTCCATGTGGTTCAGAAAAGCACAAGTCGAATATGCTGAAGTCAACTGCAATTAGACAGTATTGTAAGTCTATAAGTTGAATTGACGGCAAATAGGGAAGTTTATCATTTTGTTTTATTAAGAATTTTCTGAAATTGGTAGATATTTACATAATATGTTTCATTTATTTTTTCACAACAGATTAAAAAAAAAAAATTAGTCGTGTTTTTAAACTTTAAAATCTTACGTTTCTAGTTGTCTAGTAATTGACGACGGTTGCAGACGCTCTAACAACCATAGCTAAAACGGCGTTATTTCTAGGAACGTGTTTGGCTTGCCTGACCTATCATAGTGATGGTAACTTCTTTACTATTTTTTGGATTATAACAATTACAGTCTGTTCGCTATACTTACGTGGGTTTCGGATTAACAAAATTATGCAAATTAGTCATTGACAACCAGTTCCAATAAGCCTCTTCCCAAGAAATTAGGTAAAATTGCCCTAATGGTCAGATTTAAATTAAAATAAGTCTACAAGTATACGTCTAGTCGCACGCACACAAACACCGTGCCGAAGTCTGCCGAACTGAAACGACGTTAGACGATGCATGGCTTTCAACGCCGCACCGCTGTGCCGGTCGGAGGGGATGTGTTAGGTTTATTTTCGATTTTTTTCGATTTTCGACTTTTCGATTTTTTTTATTTTCTTTTATTGAATAAATGAGGAGTTAATATTATCGCCGAACCGCTGTGTCGGTCGGAGTGGGGGTGTTAGGTTTTTTTTCGTTACGGTCATTACGGAATTTCTTGATTCGGTCGCCGCGCTCGAAGCCCGCGATAAAAGCTATGCAATAGCTTAAAAAGAAAATGGCGGTCCTTTAAAATAGGTAATGTCTGTACAACAACGCGTATGCGATGCACTAGGAATTAGTGAAACCAAATTAAGAGGAGTATTACAAAATCACAATAGTGAACTGCCGAAAGAAGATCACCGCAAAACTCGTCCATCATTGAAAACGAAAGATATTCCAGATGGACAGAAATTTGAAATTCGTGATACCATTTATCGAATGAGGGCCAACAAGGAACATGTGACCTTAAATACAATTCTCTCGGAATTAATAGATAAACAATTTGACATTGGCAGAACAAGTCTATGGCAAGTGATACATAACTTGGGTTTCAAATTTCAAAAGGAGGATAACAGAAAGGCCCTTTGTGAAAGAAGTTCTGTCGTGCACAAAAGAATTCTTTCTAAGAAAATATTCTAAATTTAAAAAAGAAGGGGCGAATTTTATATATTTAGACGAAACATGGATATTTTCTAGGGGTGCAACCAAGAGAATATGGCAAGATGATAACGTAAAGTCCATCAAACATACCGATGGAGAAGGGAAGCGACACATAATTTTACATGCAGG